TAAAATATGTATTATATTAAATTTAACATTTTAAAAATAATTTTAAGATTATTTAACATACATAATTATTGATCATTTTTCATTTTATTTTGTATTAAAAATAAAATCTTATAATTCTCAATATGATTTTACAATCCAATTCACGACTCTTTCTTAACGATTCTACATAAAATCTCGATGTTAACATCTTGAAAATTTTGATTTGGCAAGTGAGTTTTGAGTTATTTTTTGGTTAAAATTTAAAAAAAGATAAAATAGATAAAAATAGCTAATAAGGCAAAATCATATCCAAAGGGTGGTGATAGAGAGCTCTAAATTTGAGTGGGGCCCACCATTGATGTGATGTATTGACCTTTTTTTTAAATTTTTTTAATTTTTTTTTTCATTGCCACATAAGTAGAGCTCAATTTAGAGCTCTATTTTTAGAGATCTCTATCACCACCCATATCATATCAAACTCATAATCATTTCACTTTTTATTTCACAAATATCATATCTAACTACAAAAAACTATAATCATCTGCTCAACCATAAAAATTTTTGCCTACTAAAATAGCTTATTAAAATAACAAACTTTCCAAATACCCACAGTATTTGAGAAAGATTAGATAATTTCTACATTTGAAGAGAAGATGAAGACTAACTACATATGAATTTTCAATAAATAAAAAATAATGCAAGATGTATTAATTAATGTACTAATTAGTATACTAACTGATGATGTGATATAATTTTAAAAGTTTTAAATATTTATAATTTATATAAAAAGTGAGATCAATAATAATAATGATATAAAACTATTAATATACTAATATATACATCAATAAATAAATGTGCTATTATAAGTGGAACCATTAGTCAAGCAAGACAACCACCTATATTCAATTTTGCTCTTTTGTCTTTGTTTGCTCATTTTAAGAGATGAAAGTTTGGATCCAGTCCAGGCTGGAAACTAGTGGCCAGAATCAACCTCCAAGTCAAAGGAATGGTGCCACCTACACAAACCGTTATTCACCTCGGTTGTTTTCAATTTTTAAAATTCATTTTTAGAAAATTTTATTTTAATTTTATTTTATTAATTTTTTAAAATATTCTAAGTATTTTTTTTAATTTTTAAACACGTCTAATATAAATATACTTAAAAAGTATAATTTTATTAAATTTTTAAAAAAAAAATTCACTAAATACCAAAAATATAAAAAACATTTACAAAAATTCAGTATATATATATATTTTTTTATATTTTTGTGTATTTATTATTTTTTAAAATATTTTTCATAAATATTTTACTTTTTAAATACATCTAAGTAATGTACATTTAAAAAAAATAAAAAAAATGTTTAAAATTTTAAAAATATTCACTAAAAATAAAAAAATATGAAAAATAAAAAATTTAATTTTCAAAAAAATAAATTCAAAAAACTAAAACTAAACACACTGATTTTTTTTTTTGATACATACACTAAGCATTATTGACACAAGAATTTGGTGGCCAAATATATATATACACACTAATCACCCGTGCTCACTTCATGAGTGTGATATTAAATTTATAAAATATAAATTTGAATTTGGATATGAATATGAATTTAATGAGTTTCAAAAAGACAGATTAATTACAAAAATCAGTTACACAAAAATATTTTGAATATTTAAAAAATGGGCAAATTACATATATCTCCCTTGAGGTTTAGCTAAATTACAGATAAATCCTGAGATTTCAGAAATTACAGATACCCCTGATATTTATATTTTCATAACAAATTACCCTCTGAGATTTATATTTTCATAACAATTTGCCCTTTAATTTGTTATGCAAATAGTACCTTTCAGGGGGTATCTGTAATTTCTCAAATCTAAAAAAATATCTGTAATTTTACAAAATCCCGAGAAGGTATATGTAATTTGCCCTTAAAAAATACTAGCCTATCACCCGCGCTATGCACGGGATAATTATAGATATTTATATTTGTTTTAGATTTTTTTAATATATAAATTATGTTTTTAAAGATTTTTTATAAAAATAATTTAATAATCTTATCACTAACCATAGTGTATGAGAGGAGTTGAAAAGGGTGTTGTAGTAACTATACATGGTTTGTATCTATAATTATTTGTTTGAGTGAATTTTAAATGATGATCAAGAGATTTTGACCAAATCAATAAATGCAGGCATGTGGAAAGACATGTGGATTGAAAAAAGTTAATAAATACTGATCAGAAGATTTTGACAAAATCAATAAATGTTGTGTGCTTTTTTTTAATAAAAAATTTAGAAAATTCAGATTGGGATTATTTAGAAAATTTAGAGCCATTGAACAAATTACAATCACATTTTTTTTTTGTGAGTTAACTTCAATCATATTAAGAAAATTAAATTATAAACAAAATGAGATTACTTCAATCATACAAATCACAATTTTTTTAATGCTATCTAGCTACAATGACATTTATATCATAATAAAAAAATAATTGAAAAACATAACCATTAAAATAGTAAATAAAAAAGATTATTTAGAACTATTGAACAAATTACAATCACATTTTTCTTTTTGTGAGTGTTTATATTTATCTAACTTCAATCATATTAAAAAATAAAATTATAAACAAAAGGAGATAATTTCAATCATACAAATCACAATTTTTTTAATGCTATCTAATCATCATCAATAATTAAAAAAATATAATAATTTATTTTTCAAAAAACATAGTGAGTTAAAAAGATCAATTACAATTTTTTTGGAGTCAAAATACAATCTAATTATCATCAATAATTGGTACATTATGTTACCCTAATGAGTACAATCCATTTTGTTTTTGAAAAAACACAGTGACTTAAAAATCAAATCACAAATTAAGTGAATTCATAGTTAAAAAAACACAATAATTTTTTTTTTAAAAGACACAGTGAGTTAAAAAATCAATTACAATTTTTTTTTTCAAAATACAATCTAATCATTATCAATAATTGGTACTTTAAAAATCAAATCAGAAAAAAATCAAATCAAATCACAAATATTTTTATACTATCTAACTACAATCATATTTTTTTCATAAATAATTGTAAAGAAAAACTATTAAAACAAAGATTAAATCACATTAAAAAAAAACCATTGAACAAACTACAATCACATCACATTTTTCTCATAATAAAATAAATAAATAAATGAAAAAAAAACCATTGACTAACTACAATCACATTAAAAAAAAAAAAACCATTGAACTAATTACAATCACATTCCTTTGTGAATGTTTATGTTTATCTAATTTCAATCATATTAAAAATAAAATTAAGATAGTAAATAAAAAGATTAAATAACATTAAAAAAAAAACCATTGAACTAACTACAACAATCATATAAAAAAAAGAGCCATTGAACAAACTACAATCACATCACATTACAATTACATTTTTTTCTTTGTGAGTATTTATGTTTATTTAACTTCAATGATATTAAAAATAAAATTAAAATAGTAAATAAAAAGATTAAATAACATTAAAAAAAACAAAAACAATTGAACTAACTACAACAATCATATTAAAAAAAGAGCCATTGAACAAAGTACAATCACATCACATTTTTCTTATAATAAAATAAATAAATGAAAAAAAAAACTATTAAACTAACTACAATCACATTAAAAAAAGGAATCATTCAATTAATTATAATCACATTTTTCTCTTGGTGAGAGTTTATATTTATCTAATTTCAATCATATTAAAAAATCAAATTATAATTTTTTATTCACTAGACAAATCACAAATATTTTTATGCGTTATCTAACTACAATATTAAAACAGTAAATAAAAGGAAAAGTCAAAAAGGAGAAAACAAAAAGAAGACTTACTGCTTGCATACGTGGTCACTGAAGTTTAAAGTGTAGAACTGAGAAGTCAAGCAGGAGAAAACGAAAAGAAGACTCAATGTTTACAATAGATATGTGAAAAGTTAAAAAGAGTATGTGAATTGGAGAAGTTAAAAAGACTTGGAAGAATTTAATAAGTGCTAAGTTTTTTTTTCAAAAAGAATCAAAAAAATTAAGAAATTAACGTTCAGATATTGGAACTTTCACAAAATTTGTGGGTTAGAGATAGATATAAATAAATAGATAGATATAGATATAGATATTTATATTTGTTTTAATTTTTTTTTAATATACAAATTATTTGTTTTGGAAGAAGTACTGCAGTAATTATGAAAGAAATCAAAAAATCTTATAAGTGGAGAGAAATTAATAAATACTGAAGTTAATTTTTTTTAAAAAAAAAATTAAAATTAAAAAATAAAAATTAACATATTAAAACTTTCATAGGATTAAAATTTTCCTTTTACTTAATATATACTTGAGATAGATTCAACAAAAGATTTTAGAACACCAATAAAAATATTTTAATATATAATATAAATGATTATATCAATGGAAAGGGTCCCCCTCCCTACCCTCTAAAATATTAAATGGTGGCTGTCCCTCTCTAGCCATTTTCAAATCTTTTAATTCTTTTAGTTGGCCTCTCTCTCTCTCTCTCTCCTCCAAGTCTTAAGCAAAAACAACTACCACAATCATTCAATTCCATCATGAAAGAAAATGTAAACCCAAAAAAGAGAAAAAAAGAGAAAAAAACAAAAAAAGTAGTTCAAGCACTATTGATGCCCATAATCATGGCTGCAAGTCAATTTGAATACACTGGACCAACCCAAATATCATCTCCATTTCTTATGATCAATGGCTAAGATGCAGTAATAAAAATAAATAAAATGAATTTATTTAGTTTAACTAAATATATAGTCTTTGTTAGACTAGAAGGAAAAAAAAAAAATCATGTAACCGGTTTCAGTTGATTGAGACAGAAGACATAATTTAATTTTGATGAGAAAGATCTATATGAACAATAATTTATTTTAAGTTCAAAAATAAAATTTTAAACTTATAATGACATATAATAGTTAGAAATGGTTAATTTTGAAATAGAAAGCAAATTTTCATGGCATCCCCCAAAATAAAAATATTTCTATGAAGATCTTCAAATAGAATTGAATTTGCTTTTGTCACAAACTATCTACTATCATCTACAGCAAAATCTAAACCCCTACCTCTATCAAAATAGTACCCTCCCACCGTAAAAAAAAAAATAATAATAATAATTAAAAAGGGCAGTTTCAATCGACAATCTAGAGCAACCTTATTGCTACGCCAAGATCCACCCTCACAAAGAAAAATAATTATTGGTAAAGAAAAAAAAAAGAAAAAAAAGAAGTCTATGAGTCCAGCTGAATTGGTAGAACTGCACTTCTTGATCCCCTTCCATTTGCAAAGGGAAAGAATGATCTTCTAACTCTGCTACTACAACCTTCACTAACATTGTTGACCTCATTGACATTCCTATTCTGTTCTACAATCTCTTGAACTGCCAAACATAGTTGTCTATCACAAGCTGAGTCCATTGAAAAAGATCTTCTAATGGGTTGCACAGAAAATTGATCATCTTTCTCTCTTATATCTATACATTCATCCCCCTTGCTCAAAACATGATTCAACCTTCTCACTTTCTTTTCAAACTTTCTTGGAGAATTATTCAATCTTTCTTGCACTCCAAGCAATGTCTGATCAGTAGAATTCTCTCTCTCTCCTCTCAACTCAATCACCACATAGTCTTCATCACTGCCTAAGCGATGATTATTATTATTACCCGTGTTTGGATCAGGGATTTGAGGAGACGAGCTCGGAGCAACAAATTGATTATCTAGGGTTGTTGATGTTGAAATGCTTGTTCTACAAAGTGGGCAATTGACATTGCTTTGAAGCCAAACATCAATACAATCAACATGAAACACATGTCCACAGTTTGGTATAGCTCTTACTTTCTCTTCTTCTTGGAAATCATTCAAACAAACTGAGCATTCGCTGAAACTTTTCTCTCTCAACCCATTTTCTTGATCTCCTTTCTTGAATTGAAGTATTGGGATGGCTTGAATCACTGACTCTTCGAGTCCTCTTCGTTGTACCGTAGGAGAGTATAGGCCAATTGGGTCGCTACGACGATTTCTTGAGAAAGAAAAGCGACTCAAAAGATCTATTCGATGCCAATTCAGGCAACACTTGATCACAAATATATAGTAGCTTACTAATAAGAAAGCAGTGGCTAAAATGCCGATGATCGCGACGAAGAGAATGGGAAAACTGGTGTTGGAAGAGTGTATAGGTGAGCCAAAGATTGAGCTTGGAGGGCTTTTGATGGGAGAGAGAGCTTGTTTGCTCACTAGATCCATCAAAAGCTATAAATTGTATATGGGTTTTGATTGGTTTTCTCAGATCTTTCAATAAACATGAAGATGGTGGTTGTAAAAGTAGTTGAAATTGGAAGAGATGAAAATAATGGTATAACAAGAAATGGGTCATTTCAGTATCATTTGGGGCATTGCGGTTTGATGAAGAAAGTTCTGCAAAAGGGAAATTGGGGACAAAAGTTTTATGAAAGAGGCAAAAGTTGAGAGAGAGAGAGAGAGAGAATTGAATGAAAATGAGTGTAGCCTTGATTTTTTTTATTTTATTATATTATTTTTGGTGAAAGAGAAACTTTAAGAGTAGTTGGTGAATTTTTTTTTTGTCATCCAATAAGAGATTTGGTAAGAAAGAAGAATTTTGAGTACAAAACAGGGGCAAATTATATGATCTGCTTCAACTAATAGAGAAATTACAATTTTTTTTTTTATCAGCATAGAGAAATTACAATTAGTTTTATTAATTTAATAAAATTGCATTAATATTCCGGGTTTTGGTTGGTAGCTCGAAATTTAGGGGCCCTAATGCCCCTAAATTTCCATATAAGGCAACAAAAAAAAAACAAGGCAAAAAAAAAAAAAAAAAAAAAACTTATCCAGAAAAGGAAATTAGGGCCATTAGGGCCACTGTTTTTAGGGCCACAATTCATTTTCCTAATATTCCTAGCAATAATGATAATTTTGACGGTGTTAATAGAAATGATGAGATTATTATATTATCTTTAAATATTTTGTGTTTAAATATGTACTTATATGTTTGATGACACAATTATTCTTCTTCTTACTTTAATTACTTTTTTTTTTCTTGTTTTTTGACCGCATACTTAATTACCCTCGTTCTCTTACCTGTGTACATTATTAAAATATGAAATATGAGTTTTTTTTAGATACATGTGATGTTTGGATATAAAGATAATGAATGGTAAAATAAGCATTTTAATATAATAAATGATAATATGATCAATTTTCATCAGTCTCACTAACAAATTATTAATGTTATGGGCAAAAGTATTATTATTATTATTATTGATAATTGGTTGTCTAGGCTAGCTTATTCTCGATTAATTTTGGAGACCAATCTCACTGGAAGTCTCATTTAAAGTCAAGAGAACGCCCTATATGTATATGGCTCCCAAAAGCTTATTGTTGCTGGTAAGTATTGAACTTGAGACATGACCCAGAAGTATTATGAAATTTATATTTTAACTAATTACATCAAACTTGTGAGATTATCTAGGTGCCGTTTGGTAACACTTACGTTTTTAATTTTCTGTTTATATTTAAATTGGTTGTCTAGGCTAGCTTATTCTCGATTAATTTTGGAGACCAATCTCACAAAATCTCATTTAAAGTCAATAGAACGCCCTATATGTATATGGCTCCCAAAAGCTTATTATTGCTGGTAAGTATTGAACTTGAGACATGACCCAGAAGTATTATGAAATTTATATTTTAACTGAGTACATCAAACTTGTGAGATTATCTAGGTGCCGTTTGGTAACACTTACGTTTTTAATTTTCTGTTTATATTTACAAAAATTTAAAAAACTCGAATAAAAACTTGTTCGGTAAATTTTTGATTTATAAATCAGTGGTCTCAGTTTATAAATTTGGCCAAAAAATGTAAACTCAAAAAATGTATTTCCGTTTTAAGTTTTCAGTTTTTTTTTTTTTTTTTACCACCTAACACTAGCCACCACCCGTCATCATTTTCCACCACCGTCTTCCGCCACCACCACCCACCCTCCACCACCACTCACCACCCACCTGCTACCACCAGCCACCACCCGCCACCACCACACCAAGAACAGCTACCCCTTTTGTTGGTACATCCAATCCAAACCCCCGAACTTCGGACTATCTACCCTGAGGCAAGAGGGTTTTCACCCCACTATTTATGCCTTTGTCTAAAGCCCTGGGGATCCTACTCAGGAAAGGACATCTGAAACCGTTGGAACAACGGCCTCTACCCGATCCTCTCCCTCCAAAGCATGACCTGACTAAGTACTGTGCTTTTCATCAACAAACCGGTCATGACACCGACAGTTGCGTCCGTCTCCGCCACGAGATACAAAATTTAATTGATAATAGGGTCATCCCCGCACCAGGTCCTGCAAAGTCTATCGGCACTTGATCGGTGAACTTATGGGGGATAATGTGATGTGATCGAGGGATGAACTACCTGCGGGTGGCACTCAGTTTACTCCGGATGTGGCGTATGGCACGCACTGTTTTGAGCATTTGTGAATGCTGGGTTTTGTATGTTCTGGCTTGGGTATTGAGTCAGTTCTGTTGTTTTGAGTCTGTCTCTTCGTTTTGAGTCAGTCTTTTCATATCGAGTCAGTCCTGTTGAGTTTGTCTCGTTGTATTGAGTCAGTCGGGCCTGTCTTGTTGTATCGAGTCAAGCCGCCGCCACTTGCCACCATTTGCCATTTCTCACTCTTTTTTATATTTTAAATTTTTTTAAAACATTTTGTCAATTACCAAACGTGTTTGTAGTTTATATTTTTCTAAAAATAAAAAAAAATAAAAAAAACTAGTTTATAAAATTTTTATAAATATAAACTGAAAACGTAAACGTTATCCAACAGAACCTTATATATAATTTTTTCACTATTAAGTGAAAATCAATATAATACTATCAATACATAAATAAATCACATAATAAGACACAAATACTCACATTCTTGCAGATCTCACACAATAATGTGAGCATTTGTAATTTTCTTTTTCTTTTTTTTATTAATAGAAAACTCTCGTATAGAATAATATGATGTTGTTGTGATATTTAATTCAAATCATTATTCTAAATGATTTTTATACAAAAATTTTATTTGTATTCTTATTTAATAATAAATGTTATACAAACAAAAAAATTATACAAAATTATTACTGGTCTCATCAATTAAAATTTTTAGTCATTAAGTCAAGGCCGGCCCTGAGGGCAGGCAAGAGAGGCTTGCGCCTTGGGCCTCCAAATTTGGGCTGAAAATAGGAGCTCCAAATATAATTTTGCGTTTTAGATATAAAAAAAAAAGGCACAAATACTATAGGCCCAATTGAATGTGCGGCCCCAAAAAAAAAAAAAACACAATCCACAGATTGAATGTGTTAGCTTTATTATCCATTGAAAAAGATATGGTGGATAAATCGATTATGCAAGCTTCATTAGTGATTTTGCAGCTAAAAAATGTGAGGAGGGTAATGTTTATGCGATAGTTGGTTCAATTGTAAACTGAATATTGCTAAACTATAAGGCAACAAAACCAGATTTTTTTTTTTTTTTTAGTATTTGTAATAATTGCTTCCTATCTTAATATATGAAAGTAAATTTTTGTTTATAACTTTAATGATTATATGTGCAAGTAAATTTTTGTGGCTACAAACAAATAAAAAAGTTAACTTGTCATTTTATCCATAATTTTTTTTTTTTCAATATAAGAAGGGACTCCATTTTCGAAATTCGCCTTGAACCCCTTAAATCTTAGGACCGGCACTGCATTAAGTCCACCAACGAACTTTCATATACATATTAAGTTATCACAATATTTTCTCTATGAAAATATTACACTTTGATCTTCTTAGGACATTAAAAATAAATAAATAAAAATAAACAAAAACAAAAACAAAAAGTAATGCTTCCAAAAGGATTTGGTTTTTGATAAGCTCATTCATTGTTAATCACCAAAGTAGAAAGCCAAAAAGTCTCCTAATGCACATGCAATCCACTTTTGATTTTGCTTAAAAGTAGTCTTTAAAAGAGGGCCAACCTGCTGATTACTGCAACCCATCACTTTGCTCGTCATCACATAATGCTACTCTCCCCGCTATTGCAATTTCAAATCTCCTTAAAAATAAAAAAAATAAATAAATAAATAAAAAAACCTAGCCAAAATGAGAAAATGAGAAGAGACTAGTGTATGTTAGTGAAAGTTCTAGGGTTTGGGGTTATTTCTTGGTTACTAGTCAGTCAATCACCAATTGTTATATTTTTATATTGTTTCATCATGTCCTAACGCAAAATCTCAAGGACTATTCTCTCCACTAATCACAATATCTTAGATATTATCTGATCATATCTCAGGATCGTTGAATAACCTCTCATGTTACTAGGTTATGTTATTTCTATTAGATTTTTGTAATTAGTTATTTCGTTTGACAAAATTCCTTTCAAATGTAATTTTATTTGCTCTTTTGTTTTAGTAAGGATGTGAGTGTTTAGATGCGAATCTAACCTGGATTGTACATATGAAGAGAAGTTTGTGATCTTGAGAGCCTTTCATGTTTGCCACTTCGTTGACTATGTACGGGGAAGTTGTTTGACCGCACAAACGGTAATTTATGCACTCGAGTAATGAATGGCATCATCCAGTATTTTTGTAGAGCAAACTAAACTTTTGAGAGAATCCATTTTGCACTCGAGCGGTGGAGTCTTGACTTGAACGATGGGCCTGCGTTTTAGTGAGTTTGCTCGAGCGATAAAGTGGTCGCTCGGACGGTCTTCGCGATTCAATTTACTATAAAGTGCGTTGTTTATTATTTTTAGGGTTTAAACCGTCTAAATTTTAGGAGAGCAAAGCTACCAAAGTTTCCCATATTGGGGGTATTTTTATGAGTGTTTCGTTGATGAATTGAGAGTGATTAATGAATATATGAACTTCATATTAACATCATCAAGGAGTTTGTTTATTTTATTTTATTCACAAAAGAGAGAAGCGTTCTTCGGTGGATTCCGAAGAACTTGGGTCTGAAGTTTTGGTGGATTCCGCAGTGGTTCATCATTGTGGATTCGATATCAATGTTATGGATTCAACATTGGGTAAGACAATTCCAAGGTGAAGACGGTAGTGGAAGAGGCATATCGGGGTCAGTTCAATTCGAGCGTGGATTTGCAAAGTAATTAAGGATATACATGTGTAATTCTTTTTTGTTTTTTTAGTGAATTGTTTTGTTACTTTGGTCTATGATGGTTTTATCACACTTAGAGGCGCTCCAATTGTGAATTTTCTACGTTAAATCGTTGTGTCGATTTGTCTTTGATTGTTTAGTTGAGATTGTTATTCATTGTTTAAAATTGAAATATAATCACAAATCAATATCTTGAAAATTTTAAAATTTTCAATTTCAATTGTATTAATGTCATAACCAAAATGAGAAGAGACTGCTCTATATTAGCATATTGTGTTATTTGAATATTGTTAATGTTATATTTTAATATATTACAATGTTAAAACAT